CTAAAACCACAGCAACACAAATGTATAAAAATATAATATATATAATAAATCAAGCCCTTATGGCTATAACAGTATACAATATATATTGTGGCCCTTCTGGCCCAACAGAAAAAGGTATATATAAATGAGCGGCCCTTATGGCCAAGCAAATGACAATATAATATGTATAATAATATTCACAGCAGAATTCATAGATAATAAATATAAAGTTATAGTTCACGGTAGCTATTAGAGCTACGTAAAAATATAAAAGGATTAGCCCTTCTGGCTCAACAGAGTAGAAAATATAATATAAAAAACAATTGGTGCAAATTAATCTGCGGTCCTTATGACCAAGAATAATATTATAATAATACTATGCGCCCTTCTGGCACGCAGAATATAACAATAAATAATAATATAAGTTGTGTACGGGCCCTTGTGGCACGATAGAATATATAATAATAAGTATAACGAATATAATAATAATATAAAATAAATAACTCACAGCTTGTCGGTGCACTGCTGGCCAGCCGCTGTCTAGCTATATAATTTTACATTAAAAAACAAGGAATGATGTTTACGCATAAATATAATAAGTTCGGTGATTAGCACCGCGAAATTCACAATAATAATAATATATATGGCGATTAGCGCCCACGCACAATAATATTGTTTGACGATTTGCGCCTTACAATAAATATGAAACGTGGCGATTCGCACCCGCACAATTTATAATAAATTTTGGCTATTCGTGCCTTTTACCAAATAAAGTAAAATCCGCGACGGTGTTTGCTCACGACGACGGACGGAGGAAGACAAAAGTCATGGCGGCCGTGTTAATTATATTATTCGCGCAGCCCGTGCGGCGGCGGCGATAATTTTCTTATAATCTACATATTATATAATAATTCACAATCACATAATTAATACAAAAATATACACTACGAAAATAAACTACAATTATATGGTGACTGTGTGTGTGTTTGTGTCCAGTCGGTGGTATATCTACAGCTAATGTGCCGTCGTGGCGGCGACAATATTATTATTTAATGGTTATAAATTAAAAAGTTTAAAATGTTGAGTTATATTTGTATATTTTTGCATTATTAAATACAAATAATAAGTCACTTTAATCACTTTAATCACATTTTATTTATACCCTATATTCTTGCAGCCCTGGAAAAGGAAAATGACATATAATCTGAAGAAGATAACATTGTGTGTTGTTTTGATTTACAAGCTGTGTTAATAACTGCTCGTGGGGAAATCTTTCAGTTTTACTATAAAAGGTGATTGGCTTGTTATAATTTTACTACATTTAATATCAAAGATAAAGCAGGAACATGCTATTTTTGGCAAGAAGACATTGGAAAAATATGAAAGTTATGAACCATCTACATAGGTACTATAAATAGTAATGATCATGCGTTAAAATGAGTTAAAATTTTAATGTGTTTATCACGCGTGTGAAGTTGCCCCCCCCC